AACGAGGACTCCCTCCGTCCTGCGTTCTTCTTCCTCTTGGCCCTGATCACCACGCTGTGCAGAACTCTCTTTCTCCCTGCACAGTATCAATGCCACGCGCAGAGATCTTCGTCCATCTTGTTCATTACTATATCCCAGAGCCTAGAACAGTGCCTGGCATCCTGGAGGCGCTCCATAAACGAGCCGGATGAAGACGCAGAATAAGGAATCAAAGTGCTAGATCACACAGGCAGGGGTTGAGCTAAGGTTTGGACGTTTTTTCTGAGGGCACTGGGGAGCCATGGAGGGTTATAACCTGGGGGAGGAACGGGGTTAGGCTGTGGTTTAGAAAGATCCCACAGAATAGAGTGGGGCAGGAACCAGAGGAGGAGCCCGACTGGCAACAGATTCAGACCCAGGACAGGAGTGCCCCTGGGGTTAGGAGACGGGGAGTGCTCAGTTAGAATGCTTGGGACCTGAGGCTGACAGGCTGGGCAGGTGGGGGTGGGTCTGCATGCTAGGTGGAGGCAGGCGACATGCCCACAGGAGGAGGCTGGCCTGGAGTTAGGGTCCCAGCTGCCAGCACACTGCTGGGAGGGAGCCCATGTCCTGACCCTGATAGGGACAGGGCACCACAGCCAGGGAGGGGACAGAGTGTGGCTGTGGGAACACCCCTCCTCTGCTTCCCTGGACAAGCCAAGCTGATGATAGCTTTATAGAAGTGTCACTTGGGTCTCTACACACACTTCCTTTTTTTGTGAACGGGGCCCAGCAGAGTGGGGGCTGCCCAGGTCATTTGGGAAACCCAGGGAAGAACTTCAGGGGACAGAGATACAGAATCTGAGAACTTGAGACGCAGGGAGGGACGACCAAGGCACAGAGGAAGGTCACAGTGACTCATGGAACCCTGGAGGAGACTGGGGCCTGGACTTCTGGGTCTAAGGGAGGAAATGAGCTCTTGAGTCCTCAGGGCTTGGCGTGCCCCCGACAAACCTACAAAACTCGGGACAGGGTGTGGCCGCACTCCAGCAGGCCTTGAAAGCCATGTGCTCTAAGCAGTGGCCTCAGTGGCTGCCTCAGCCACTTGGTTAATTAATTAGTTGCATTAATCACACTGGCCACCCCCACAGCGGAAGCCCAGAGCCCGACTGGGGGATGAGCGCAGCAGCCAGGATGCAGGGCTGTGGGTCTGATCTGGGTTTTCTGCCGGCCTCTGGTCTTTGTCCCTCTCATCACGAAGCGCTGGGGGCCCTCCCTCCAGAAGCTCAGCTCTGCAGGCCTATGGAAAAAGGAGGGAAGGGGAGGGAGCCACCACCCATCTTGGGATGAATCTCTAAGATTGCTCTTCCAGGAAGGGGTCCTGGGACAGATTCCTGCCACACACTCCCTGCTCCATGGAGTTCACACCTCAGTGTCTGTCTCTCTGAGGCCCAGGCCCCCTAACTCTTGCAGATCCCGTGTCCTGATAGTCTTATTCTCCCCTTGGACACTCCAGGTTTTCATCATCTCTCAGGATCTTCTCATCTCTGCCTCTGGTTCTTGGGGTCCCTGCTCCTCTGTCTCTAATCCCCAAGGTCTCTGGCCTGTTTCTCAAATTTGCTCTCTCTCTCTCTCTCTCTCTCTCTCTCTCTCTCTCTCTCTCATGCTGCAGATAGACCCAGGGCCTCCCGATGCTAAGGAAGCACTCTCCCACTCAGCGATGTTCCCAGCCATCTTTTTTGAACAGTATTATTGATATAAAATTTCCATATAATCCACCCCCCCCCCTTAGAGCATACAGTTTAATGCCTCTTGGTTTGTTCACAAAATCGTGCATCGATTGCCACAGTGATTTCAGAACATTCACACGGGTCAGCTAAGCAAAGTGGCGCTTGCCTGTAATTCCAGTGACAGAGGCTGAGGCAGGAGGGTCACATGTTCAAGGCCAGCCTTAGTAATTTAGCAAGATCCTATCTCAAAATGAAGATAAAAAAGGGCTGGGGGTGTAGCTCAGTAGTAGAGGGCCCCTGAATTCAATCCCCAGTATCAAAATTAAAAAAAAGTGTCATTAGCCAGAAAGATTGCCGGGACCTCTTAGCTGTTCCCTTTCTTTGCTGGACGCCTCTATCCTGGGGGGGTCTCTATCTGCTGGTCTGGGTCTTCTTATCTCTGGAGTCTGGCTTTCTTATCAGATTCCTGGGAACTGTAATCTCTGTGTCTCTGTGTCTGGACCCTGGGTCTCCTACCCAGCATCCACTACACTTTCTCAACTGCTGGAGCCTTCTCGCTGGGTCCCCTCTTCTCCTCCGCCTCCTGCTCCATTTCTCTCAGCATTGCTGGGACATTAAAAATGTAACAGCGGCCCAGGCAGGGGCGGGGGAGCTGGCCCTCGTGCACTACTCCCTGTCCCTCTTATGTCCACCACTCCTTGGGGCCCCCACACGCTGCTGGCCTTGAGGCTTGCCTGTGCCCTGACCTTCCTGGGTCATGGCATCTCCTCTCTCAGATGGAGTCTTCTGGGCTCCCTGCCTGTCACCAAACCTCTGTCCCTCTCCTTGGGCTGTTTCTGTCTTCATCCTGGTGTCTCTGACTGGCTTCCTATCTGTCCATGCGGCTCCTCTCTCCATCTCTCTGTTCCTTTGTAAGTGTCCTTGACCCCATCCCTAGATCTGATTCTCACCCTCTTTCCTCTTTTGGCTGCGGTCGGTCCCCATCCCTGTATCTCTATCCTCTCTGTTTATCCCTGTCCCCCGCCCGGCTTCTCCTCTGCTCAGTCCCCCTTCCCTAACAAGAAGAGACAGCCAGGCCTACAGTCCCTTCTCCCTCCCATCCCCCTCACTGCGTGGGGCTGCCTGGCTGACATGGATGAGCAGTGAGAGCTGAGGGTGGGAGGGGAGGCGCAGCGAGGTCCAGGTGGTGCTCCCTGGTTCCCAGGAGGCCAAGGAGGGGGAGGGCAGAGCTGGGGCCAGGTCCAGGGGGGATGAAGGGAGAGAGTGCAGCATGGGGGAAGGAAAGCTCAGAGAGGAGTAGAGAGGGAAGAGATGGAGAGAAAGTGAGGGGAGAAGGGAAGAGAGGAGGAGGAGAGAGAGACACAGACAGACAGACACTGGGGAGGACCTGAGTCAGCAAAGGCAGAAGGATGGAAGGTCTGGAAGGGGAAGGTCCCCTCTCCTGATTTCTCGAGCATTGAAGGGGACCTTGAATCTTCCCAAAGGTCCTTCAGGGAAAGGACTGTCACCTCAGTTTTACAAAAGAGGCTCAGAGACACTTTGGGGAGACTACCCAGCCCAGGTGGTCTGAGAAGAGCCTCTGGATCAGGTCTCCCAGGAACTGGCTGTGGGACCCTGGGAAAGTAGCTTGTCCTTTCAACACCTCTGTTTCCTCATCTGTGAAATGGGAACAGGCAGAGGCCCCGGTTTCTAAGGGTGATCTGGAACCTTCTGTGAGATTAGGCACCAGTCAACCTTGGTGCAAGTTGGAGAATTCTCCCAGAGATGAGAGGTTCACATCCCATCTCCCTATTGCTGATAGGGAAGGAAGAGGCGGCCAGTGCTCACAGCTAGGGGTCAAGGCTGGATGACAACTCAGGGACAACCAGGGCAGTGCCGGGGATTCCCCCTTAGCCCCTTTCTGGGCAAACCCATGGGAAACTCCAGCATCCCAGTGTTTCTATCTGGGAATAAACAGCCGGTCAACTGCAAAGGGAGGGGCCAGCGCCGCCTTCACCTGTCTGCTCTCAGCCTCTGCTCCTTTGGGGGCCGCACCCCTCCCCCAAAGAGGTGGGGAGGGGCGCGGGAATTAGCCAGCCGGCTCCACCCGTCCGCCTACCAAAGCGACTGGATGACAAAGGCGAGACCAGAAGAAAGATAAGGTCCCGAAACCCGGGAGTTCGAAACTCGGGAGTCCGGAACCGGGAGCAGCAGCTCCTGCCCTGCCCCTCCCAGGCTTGGCGAAAGCGATACCCGGAAAACTTCCCTAGAGACGTCCCCACTGACCGCTCACTTGCAAAGGGCGGGGGCATCCAGGCTCCGGGACTCGGCCTCGGATTCTACCTGGGAAGCAGCACCCTGAGCCTCCAGCCTCCAGACAGAACCTCTGGCCCTTGATTACACCTGGAGGCCAAAGGACGGGTGCCCTGCCCGTCTCAGTATTTGGGGTTCAGAAGACATTCCTCTGCCCACAATTAAACCTGAAACCCACGAATTAAGCCTTCTGTCCCCAGTTCTACTTGGAATCCAGAAGACAGAGGCCCCGGCTCACAAAAGTTTGAGCCCCTCCTGCCCCCAGTTCTACCTAGACCTCCGTTAGTGACAGCCTCTGGCCTCCATTCTACCTGGGACCCGGGAGACGGAACCCCCAGCCCTTAATTTTTTCTAGAACCAGTGTTTAGAGCCCACAAACTCCTTGAGGTCCAGGGTTGGAGGGCCCAGCACAGGCCCTTCCCCCCAGGGCGCTGCAGGAACTCTCATCCTCCGCCCGCCACCGACCCCAAGGTCCGAGCTCCCAGTCCCTCCTCTAGCGGATCTCAACGTCTGGCCCCTTGCCCTTGACCCCCCAAGGCTCAGACGTCCGACCTGACAAGAAAGAAAAATGAGGGGTGGGGGGAGTCTTGCCACACCACCACGACCGTCCTGCTGGGGGTGGGGGAACATTCTCCACATTCCTGAGGGGGGCTCCGGAGACGGTTACCCAGATCCCGAATCACTGATTAGCCCAGGATGGGGAGGGGGCGCGAGGCCTCCCACAGACCTCAGATTTAACCACTTCGGCGGCCCGAGGATCTGACCAAGGGGGGACGGGGACAGAGAAGTCCCGGGTAGCATGGGCGGTAGGGATTAAGGAGGGTGTGAAGAGAGGGACATAGAGGGATTTTCAGGACTCAGACAAAATAGGGTGTGTAGGGGAAGGCGCCGGAGTCGGAAGGGACATTCTGGAAGGGGCACGAGAGAGGGGCCTCGGTGAACGGGGGGGTGGGGGTGGGGGAAGGTACTCGGGGTTCCTCCACTCAGAAGGGAGGGAAGGGCGTCCGCGGTTCCTCTCACCTGTTTCCCGAAGCAGCAGCAGCAGCAGCAGCGGCAGCGGCAGCGGCAGCGGCAGTGTCGGCGACAATCTTGACGGCGGGAGGACGGCGACCCGGGCCATGGGGGGCCCGGGAGCGGACTGGGCCGGGGCGGGGGCCTGCGGGCCACTGTGCGTGCGCCAATCGGCTGAACGGTCGAGCAGGTGCCTGAGTGATTCGGCTGCGGCCGGCTCCGGTCGCGCACGGTTCTCCCCGCTCTGTTCTGGTTCAGCTTTCCCGATCCCGCTCTTAGGATCCACGCCCGGGCCCCTAGCTTAGCTCCGGCCGTTCGGACTCGCTGACGTCACAGGACCCACCCCTTCCCTTCCCCCGACAGAGTCGAACCCGGGCTCTGGCCCCTCCCCGTCCTGGTGTTCGGACCACGCCCCCAGAATTCCACACCTGTCCCTCCCCGGTGTTCCAGGATCGCCTTTTCCAGGGTTCTCCACCCGCCCTCTCCCGGGATTTTATACCCGCTCCTCCAAGAAGTCTACGATCGCTCCGCCCCCAGAGCTAGTCTCCGCCCTCTCCTGGTGTTAAACACCGCCCCTTTAGAATCCTAACAACGCTCCCTGGCCCCGAAGCCTTCATCCCGCGCCCTTTCCACGTTTCCTCGCCGCCCACTAGGGTTCTGTCACGCCCCCTTTGGAACTTCCGGCCGTCTCCGCCCCCGCGAAGCCACGCCTCCTCTCCGGCCCCGCCCTCCGCTCTCCGAATAGCCTATCCTCCCCTCCCCAGGAGCTGGGTCGGGCCAGGTCTCAGCCCCGCCCACAGCTCTAATCCCGCCCTCTTTTGCAAAACCCTGGACCTTTATCGCACCTGCGTGATCACGTGGGCTCTCATAGACACGCCCCCTCTGGAACCCCGCCCCACACTGAGACCCCGCCCCCACCCCGTCCTGGCCAAGCGATTTCCCAAGACCTAGACCCTGGCTCCGCGTCTGTGTCGCATCGTGGGCACCTCTCAGAATACGCTCGTCTCTTCCTCTGCCTCGGATTCTGGGTGTCACCACGTTGCTTTCTGCTAGATTTCTCTCTTAATGTCTTTGTGTGTGTCTCAGTATTTTTGCGCGTCGGTCTCCGTCACCGTGTTTCTCTGTCGCTGGGTCTTTGGGTCTCGGTGTCGTTCTGCTTCTGGTCTGTCTTTGTCTATCAGTGTTTCTGTGTCACTTGTTCCCCAGGTTTCTTTCCATCCCTTTGATTCTGTGTGTGTCTCTGTGTCTCTGCCTCTTTTTCTCTTCGCGTCTCAATGTGTCTTTCTCAATGTGTCGCTCTCTTCATGTCTCTGTCCCTGCTTCTGTGTTCTACGTCCCCTCTCTGGAGTCCTCGTATCCACCTTTCATACAGGGTCCTCGCCACAGTGTTATCGCCGGCTCCCGCCAGGGGGCAGCCCAGACCGGCCCCGGTGCTTCGCTGGCCGGGCCGGTAGTAGGAGGCTGGGCTAGGGTCCGGCCTCCGGACCTGCCAGTCCCTCCCCGTGTCCTTGTCCCACTTCCCCTATCTCCCCAGCCTCCTCACGTCTTTGTGTTACGCTCTGACTCGGCCCTTTTGTCTCCCAGGCGGCTCTGCTCCTCCCCACCCCCACCTCTTAACATTCCTCGGGCTGCCGGGGGAGCTGGTGAGGCCGCCCAGCCTGGCCCGGGTGAAGGCAGTGAGCCGGAGGCCGAGGGAGGGGATACCGCTGAGGGCTTGAGAGCTGAGATCCTCCTGGGCGACGGAGTGCCAAGCTAGTCGGCTTGGGCCAGCGCTTGGGGACTTCTTGCTAGCAAGAGGGCCACCTGGGTAGGCTAGACTCTCCCTTTCCACCTGCACCACACCTGGCTTTCCTTCCCAGAGGGGCCACAATCCCAAGTAGGAAGCTCTTGCTGACCCCTCTTGGTGATGCTAATATTAATTCGTGTATAGCACCCGGTGCCCGGCGCTGCTCATTGCAAGTGTTAACCCACTCAGCACCCTACGTGAGGCACAGAGATGAAGTGACTTCACCTAAAGTCACAGTTGTGAAAAGAGAATCTGGGACTGACACTGCTCTAAGTATCTGTTTGTCTTAGTTAATTCCTCACAAGAACCCCATGAAGGGGGGGTTGAAAAAAAGGTTCCCCATTTCATTGAAAAGTAAACTGAGGCATAGACTGGCTGTTAATCCCCAAGCCATCAGCAAGGAAGTAGCAAGGCTGAGATTTGAACCTGGACAGTGTGATTCTTAGCATCTGCCTCAGGCTGGACACAAGCCTGGTGTGAGGCCAGCTGGACAAGCCGGTACATAATGCCCTTCAGATCTCTCTGATCTTCTCTCCCAAGTCCGGGGCCAGGTTAGAGGGCCAGGGTCTGGCTCTTAGACTAGCCCTGCTCAATTTCTTTGCCAAACCTGCCTTGCTCCCCATTTTCCCCTTGAGCAAAAGAACCCATGCCCAGGGAAGCTTCTTCCAGGAAGGCCCCCAGCACCCGCTCTTCCAGGGTCCAGGGCTTGGCTTAGTCCTTGCTGGTCTTTGTGGGTGAGCCCAGAAGGAAGGCCCAGGAGTATCGGCTGGAGTATCACACCACCAGGCCACATGCACATGGGGGCATGTGTAAGGCTGAGCACCGCCACCTTTATTGACAAATGACTGGGTGGGTCCCATGCCTCAGGAGTCAACTTCCAGTGTCAAGGAGTCCCAGAGGTGGCACTTCACTGAAGAGCCATAACCAAAAGGAAGGGACACGGGGCCAAAGGCTTCCTGATGGAGTCTTGAAGTTGATGTCAAGGACTTTATCTGCCGGGAACTGCTCTCTCTTCTCCCAGCAGCAACGGCTCCCACTGCCACCACCCCAGGGTTCAGAGTAAGGCCAACCTAGACCTAGCCAATCAGAATATTTGATCCTCCCGGCCCCTGGCATTGTTTCAAGGATGGGAATCAATTTGAGCTCCTAGATCCAGCTTTGCCTAAAGGCCATCAACACTTTCACTTCTCAAGTATTTGAATGAAACATTTTCCCCTTACATGAATTTTTCACTTTGCTGCCTGCTTTTTTCCCTCCCTACCTTCCTTCTTTCTTTCTCCTCCTCTTTTTCTTTTGCAGTACTAGGAATTGAACTCAGGGCATTCTACTCCAGACCTGTATCCCCACCCCTTTTTATTTTTTATTTTAAGACAGGGTTTCACCCAGTTGCCCAGACTGGTCTCCAACTTGCGATCCTCCGATCCTCCTACTGCAGCCTCCTGAGTTGCTGGGACCACACCCATCAGCTGCTGCTGCCTTTTTTTTTTTTTTTTTTGGTCATTTACAACCCAACAAGCCTTACACTAATACAATCTCTCCAAGTTCAGGAGATGTGCAGATTCCTGGGACATCCCAGGAATAGGAATCACTTTTCAGAATCCCAGATGTCCAGGTTTTGAAAGATAGTCAAGTTTTTTTTTTTAAATATCTTTAGTTGTAGATATTAAAATATAGGACACAATACCTTTATTTTATTTGTTTATTTTTCTGGGTGTCGGGGATCGAACCTCACACATGCTAGGCCATCGCTGTACCAATAATCAAGTCTTGTTACCGTGGGGGACACAGGGAAAGGCTTTCCAGGAAGGGGAAGTGTCATGTCACCAAGCATGGTGGGGACAGGGAGAGAGGAACTCTGTGTGTGAGGAGCTGCACCTGAGGAGGCCCTGAAGGCCAGGTGGAGGGTGGCCGTGCTCCTGGGAACAGGAAGCCCCAAGGTTGAGGAGCCAGGATCCTTCCGCTCTGCCTTCCCTCTCTCCTCCACCCTGCCCTTGGCCAAGATGGGAGCGAGGGTAGTTCTGAGGTGGGACAGACTGCCATCTGTATGCAAATTATCTGGGATGCCATGTAGATGAGGGACCTTATGCAAATGTGTCTTTCTGGGGGACAGGCTGAGGCACTACCTCATTAACTTGGGGACCAGGTGCTGGGTGGAGAACTCTGTCCTCCCTGGGGTCCCCTTTCCCCTCCCCTGTCCATCTGTTCACTCCCAGATTCCGTTTACCAGTGTCTGTCCCTAGAGTGGCATCTTTCCACACCTGGTCCTATCCCGAGAATAAAGGAAACTTTTTGGCTTTTCTCTGGGTCCCTCCATTCTTCCTTGCATTGGAGTAATAGCTAACGTTACTGCACAGGTATCCTGTGCCCAGCTTTGTCCTCAACACTTTCCTCGTTCAGTTCACTAAATTCTCCTTTCCACCCTCTGATCCTCTGTGTGTTTGCTGTTTTTTGGGGGGAGGCAGGCGGGTACTAGATAAACTTGCGATCCTCCTGCCTCAGCCTCCTCAGTGACTGGGATTACAGGTGTGTGCCACTGCACCCCAAGCACCTTTGTTTTAAATGAATTCAATAAGTCCTCTGGGATAGGAGTGCCTTTATCTGAGCTCTTCCGCTCTGGGTCTCTGCAGACTCCCTGGTCACCTACAGGAGACTACTGTCACCAATTTCCTTTGGTGCCAGATCTTACTTGGTGGAAGAAGCAAACTGTGGGAGGAGAGTGAGACCAGGAAGGCTTGGGGGGCATCCGGGAGGAGAGGCACCCTCATCCCTCACCTCGGGCTGATCTAGCACAGTCGCTGGTTTGCATGGGGCTGACTCCTCACGGCTGCCCTCTAGGGGCCAAAGTGGGACTCGTCTCCGTCTCCGTGTGATGCCCAAGAATCAAGGCTCAGAGGTGGATTCACCCAGCCAAAGTCACTGGTGCCTGCCTCCCAAATGCTTCTGAGCTCCTCTTTCAACATTTTCTCTTTCCCTTTCTTGCTGTAACCCTCTCTCTGAACCCAAGTTTTCTTTTTTACTTTTTCTGTCTCTGACTCTATCTCCCCCCAAATCTGCCTCCTCTCTTTTAATCTCTTGAGCCCTGCCCACCCCTCCCTCCTCTTTCCATCCTTCCTCACATCCCTCTTCCTGGGCCTCAGAGTCTGTCCTGGCCAGCCCAGGCCGGCCATCCACATCAGAGCGCGGCCTCCCTTCTTCCCCAGGGAATCCTGCTGCAGGAGCCATGACCCCCCCCCCCCCACCCAGGAGGCGGCTCCATCCCTAATTCCATCAACTCTACTTCTGGGAGAGCACTTGTCCCCTCCCGGCCTTAATTCCCTGGGGGGCTCTGGCCAGAGACTGGAATTTTTCCTTAAGGGGACAGCACCCCATTCCCGAGCAGGCACCGGTCCCTCCTTGTCCTTGGGGGAGGACCCCAGCATCTCTCTTCCACCTTCCCCGGCTGAGCCACCTCGGTGAGCCCTGTCTCTCCTCTCTCTCCATGACATCAGCCTCTCCTGAGGTCTCAAAAGGAAGTGGACAGGGCGAGGCAGCTGGGAGGGGGATCACCTGC